TAAAACGTTTATTTAAAGTCAGAAAATGGTTATATTTTCTACGTCGATTCAACGTTTTATTTTATACGTTGGCCCAACTTTGTATTTTAAGTTAGCACAACGATGTATTTTACGCTGTTTCAACGTTGTGTTTTAAGTTAGCACAACGTTGTATTCATTAAATTATACTTTCTTTATATATATATATATATATATATATATATATATATATATATATATATATATATATATATATATATATATATATATATATATATATATATATATATATATATATATATATATATATTGTATTGAAATTTATTCTCTTCGGGCGTTTGTCCTGCAGAGTTATTAATAATGTTACAGTAGTTGATAATTTATAAGGAGAAAAAACGAAAATGTGAAAAATTAAAAAATCGAAGAAATATATATATATATATATATATATATATATATATATATATATATATATATATATATATATATATATATATATATATATATATATATATATATATATATACTCTTGCGTGGTAGTCAAAAAGAGTTTCCCATAAACTGTAGTTTTAAAGAGCGCGTTAATAAACCAGACCAGAAAAAGTTTAAAAACTTAAATTTTTTTCTTCTAAATGATAGACTGCCTGCCCAAACCAAACCCTAAGTCGATGTAGCAGCACTCCCTTGCGAGTCAGGTTATTTGTCAGTCGATGTAGCAGCACTCCCTTGCGAGTCAGGTTATTTGTCAGTCGATGTAGCAGCACTCCCTTGCGAGTCAGGCTATTTATCAGTCAATGTAGAAGCACTCCGTTTTGAGTCAGGCTATAAGATAGTCGATGTAGAAACACTCTTGTGTTTCGGCTCCTAAAGGAGAGTCATAACACGCTTTAAAGACCGAGAGTAAGGTGAGTTTGGGAAGAATGAAGATATGTTAGAGTAAAAGGAAGAAGTAGTCGAGTTAGAAAGAAAGCATAAAGAAAGAGGACAGAATTGCACGCGATATTAGAAGGTACGATAGCGCTGTTAGTATATATATACAGCCAACGTAATCATTATGTGCGACCATGGCGCAGTGGTTAGAGCGCCTGCTTTATAAACAGGAGATCCAGGTTCGAAACGAGGAATGGACATATTTTTGCGTCACGGAAAGGAAGGAGGCGTGAACTTCCTGGTTAAATGCACTTCCGCGGTGCTCTGTGACAAGACCGTTAGGTCTTCTTGGGGCGTCTAGAAAAAAATAAAAAGAAAAAACAAATTACATATATATATATATATATAAACCAACAGCGCTCGATCATCGGAACAATAATCATGTTTGTGTTGATTGTAGGTAAATATTTTCATAATCACGGAAGATTTTATTTAAGTTAGATAATTTCGCAATAGCTACATTAGACAAACGTTCATTTATATATATTGAATAAACGTTGGGTTGTATACATAGGATCAACGTTGGGTTTAGATCGTAAAAACAATTAACTTTTTGCGATGTTTTTACATACATTAATTCAACGTTGGTTTATTCACATTAAATTAACGTCAGGTTAATAACATTGGATCAACGTTGGGTTTACATCGTAAAAACAATCATTTTTTTGCGATGTTTTTACATACGTTGGACCAATGTAAATGTGCCAACTGTTTTTAGTTCTGTCGGTATTATTTTCATCATTAAACAAATGAAATTAGATCAACGTTGGTTTTGCATTGAAAAAACAGCCAACGTTTAACGATGGTTGCCCCAACGTAAGTGTGCTAGCTGGGTATCTATACAAATAAGTATCATACTGTCTGTATACTTATTTGTATAGGAGAACCAGTTAAAAAGCTTAAATGGAAGAACCTCATACTTTTTGCTTTTATTTATAATTTTATTCACAGATATATATAAACGTACAACAACTTTTTATTAAATTTAAAAAATTAATTCTGTATTAGTTCAGTACACAAAACTAATCTGATGAATCATGCAATGAATACGCAATATTTTCTTCAAATTCTTTATCTAGCATTCTTACGATGTCTTCGAAAAGTAGCTAAAAATAGTTTTATATGAAATCTATGAACGAACAAAATCGAGAGAAAAAATCAATAATAACAAAAGCTGGCTTACATTGCACGCCGTTTTAAAACCTAACGTTGTTTTCTGGTATCAAACACAACGTATTAAAATATTTTTATCTTCGTTTAGTATAACTCTGAATGCATTTTTCAGGGGCGGATACAGGTTGTAAAGATAGGGGGGGCACAAATGGGGTGGGGTTTAAGGGGAAGGGTATCCCCCTCCCCTTCTGGGGTCTATAATCAGCCGCCAATGATTTTTAATGAAATGACAACCCAAAATAGACAGTTTCCAGTACCCTTTTCTAACTAGTTTAATACTGAATACGCTGTTAGTTTTATAGAGTGAATGTCTGTCTTTTATAGAGTGAATATCTGACCTGAGAATGGATCGACATAATTATAAATAAAAAATTAATCAAATTTTAGGGGGGCACGACCGGCTGTGCCCCCCTCTAAATCCGCGCCTGTTTTTTTTTCGTTAAGTATAACTCTGTTTAGAATAAGTATAGCAAAAAATTTTTATTCGTTAAGAGTAACACTGATTTACAAATTTTATTTTGAATAACAATTCTCAAATATATTCATTAAAAAACCGCTCAAACATGCTTACAACTATGAATTGAAAGTTATCAAAACTGTAAACCACATGATATTACAGAATATTCTAGAGTTTACTACAAAGCATTGCATTGGAATTGTAGTTCACAATTAGTAAAATTTAAAATTCAAAATGAGGCATGATTTTGTGTTATATATGTATCGCCCATATGATACCCACACCTAATTTAGCACGTATTTATTTAATGATTATAACACATTAAGGGAAATAATTATGTGGATGCATTATGTGTTCTACATGTGGACCACACTGATCATCAGCATATATATCAATCATCAATTGGAATAATGTTTTACACTTTTATTCCACTTCTAAGCACTATGGCCACATTTGGGTCACTTATACCTTTCTTGTCGGGTTGTTATATATTATTATTTAAATATTACAGTAAAACTTTAGCTGAAATAAAAAAAGCAATATAAATGTTACGCGCAGATCGTGAAATCACGCATTTCACGAACTGTGCAATTTTTAGCTCATTTCGTGAAAAGGATAGCGCTCTTGCGCAGATTATGAAATGTTAAACTTTTACTGTTTTTTTTTTTTAATACATACCCTGCGTAATAAATATTATTTATAATAAATATATGTTTTTTTAATTAATAGGCTACCTGCCCAACTCAAATCTTCAGTCGATGTAGCAGCACTCCGTTGCAAGTCAGGCTATTTGTCAGTCGATGTAGCAGCACTCCGTTGCGAGTCAGGCTATAAGATAGTCAATGTAGCAGCACTTCGTTTAAGTCGCAAGTTTTTATTTAAGTCAACATTAATATTTATTAGACATGGTATAATTAAATAAATAAAAAACCCTGTAAAAATTTAACATTTCACAATCTGGGCAAGAATGCTATCCATTTCACGAAATGAGCAAAAAATTGCACAATTCGTGAAATGCGCGATTTCACGATCTGTGCGTACCATATACATATGCATACATATATACATGCATTTATAAATACATACATACATAAATTCATACATACATACATACATACATACATAAATACATACATACATACATACATACATACATACATACATACATACATACATACATACATACATGTATACATAAATATATACATACATACATACATACATACCTACATACATACATACATACATACATACATACATACATACATACATACATACATACATACATACATACATACATGTATACATAAATATATACATATATACATACATACATACATACATACCTACATACATACCTACATACATACATACATACATACATACATACATACATACATACATACATACACCCTAGATGAGCCCCTGATAATACTAGGGTAGCTTTGAAATGTAATACCTATACTTTAGCTAATAACTGGTGCATGAATTTTTACGGTGTACTCAGTGTGCTACAGAAATTCGCTTAACAAATGGAACTTTAAATATTTATGTTCATCCATTTTAATAGAGAAATTAATTCATTTGTTAACTTCAATTAATTAGTATTTTAAGCAAATTTGCAATCATTTGTTATTAAGTTTTAAATAAGTTCTTTAATTAAAAATCTGCCTGTTAACCGGATTAAAACACTATAAACTATCAACATATATACCTTCACTAAATACCTATAAGCAAATTTGAACGAGAAAAAAAAAATTATTGTGTTACAAAGTTATTCAATTATAGACATTTTTAGACAGTTTTTTTTGACATTATGGACGTTCCGAAGGCTTTTTGAAAAAAAATTTAATATAAATATATAAAAATAATTCTGATCAAAAAATATTAGCTTTGGCATTATTTAGATATTCTATTGAAAAAGTCCTTTTTAGTAGTGTACCAGCATAACGATCGACAAGTCTTAGTATTATTCAAAATATATTCCGTTTGACCGACACAACCAAAACTTTAAAAAATAAAAGAATCAAACTTATTTGATTTTTTTAATAGAATTGCTAGATTGTGAAGGACAAAACCGAATTCAAGTTTTTTTTTTTATTGCAGAACATCTTGATCCTGTTTGAGAAAATATGAAGTAGTTGAAAAGTATCTAGTGAAAAATAGTAATTCTTCATTTTTTTTTCCCGTTATAAATTCTACTGTGACATGATGTAGAGGCTTGGGGGATTAATGTTTTGTGACAAAAATGTTTTCTTTTTTTAAATAGTTTTATTTTTCATGTAACGTAATTTGCAAATAAATTAAGTGCTATTTTATTTCCTAAATATGAATTTTCGTTTTATTTTGAACTGCGTCTACTTCAAATAAGTTAATTTGAAGAAAAAATTAAAACCAAGATTACAGGTGTAGAAATAAAAAAAAATGTCATGAAATATTTATTTTAAGCATAAAAAAAAGCTTGAAATTTTAGAAATTAACTTGATAGATATTTATACAAAAAAGTGTTTTTCAAAATGTTCATCGTATCCATCCAATATTTCCATCCCCGAGATACAACGTACGGTAACAACAATGAAACCTTTGACATTCATTTAAAAAGTAATTAAACCTTCTATCTAAAGTTTTGCGAAGACGTAGACACCGCCTAAGGACATAATTTTGCATTGGAATAATTCCACCGTATTTTTCCAGTAACGCATTATGTAAACGTCTCCATGAACATGTGTTGTTTACAATGTCTCTGTAAGTGCTTATATCTAAAAAAAAAGTAAATATATTTGGATGTTATCACTAAGTATTGAAAAATAAAAAAACCATAGTTACAAGCATTTAACGACTTTATGATTTAATTATCGACGCAATAGTTTTAAAGAGAAAACCATGAATACCATACTTCTAAATTTTCGTTTTCGCTTTTTTAGGTTTGCTTTTTAACACATCTATTTCTTGTTGTTACATGATATAACTTCAGTTCTTTACCAAAGATTGCATACTCTTGGTCCATTGAGGTGGAAAATAATGATCTGTAGAGAGCTAAATTTGCTTTCTGCAGACTTATGTATGTAGCTTCCATATTGTAATAAGCCGGACAAGGATGTGGTTTACCACAATACCATATTTCCGAATATTTATAGTTATTGAATTGTAATAATTTGAAAAAATCAGAATCATCAATTTTTTATTTGATATTGTTTACCAAAATTTTAATTTATTGTTGAAAACATATTCAAGAAATGGTGGTATTGACCAGCTATTAAGTATTTTCAATTTTTTTAAATTAGCCAAATGGAATAACCATTTGATAAAATTCATGGGCATAAAAAGGTGGAGGCTTAGGAGACTTAAAACCCATGATTTTAGCATTAAATCAAACAAAACTATTCTTTTTTGTTTATAAACAAGAGAGTAGGTGATTGGAATTTTGATAATGATTGGATGAGGAGTAGGTGATTAGATGCGGAGATAAGCTATGTTTTTCCTTGTAAAAATATTTTTATTTTTGAAAATTTTCATTTCAAAGTGAGATCAAGACAAACCAAATTTTTTTACAAGACTTTCGAAATGAAAACATTAGATAACAAACTTTTTTTATTGATTAATTTTCATTAGAGATAATTTCAATTATAATTATTACTTAAAAATGACATGTTAGAACATGAAAATTGTTTTTTATATGTCCTAACATTTTCACCAATAAAATGGAACTTTTGGTTATTCTTTTTTCCAATTTTATTTATTAATTTTTTTTCAAAATGTTTAAATTTACGAAATCTAAAATTGATAAACTGAAAGATATAATAAAATTTTTTTGTCATTACTTTATTATATCTTTTTTTTTCTTTTGTCTTTTTTCACTAATGTTAAAAATAAAAAAAAACTCGACTAATAAGAGTATTTAGAGAATAAATGAACAATAATACAAAAGGATGCAATTTGGTTGAATGATGAGGCAAACAAAAAAGGGTTTTGGTTAGCAAAAAAAAGAGATGGTAGCATGCTTAAGAAGCAATAATGGCAGTATTTGTGAAAAAAGTGAAAGAAATGCAACCTTAAAACGATTGGATAGAGGCTGAGGTTTGGCAGCTAAAGTATGTGTATGTGTACTACATTAGGACTTTGTCAAAAAAAGGAAAAAAAAATTGTAAAGACATTGAAATTAATTTGCTTTAATGGCCTTGCTAACCACAGTGTGAGCAGAAAGCAAAAAGTTAGATAAATAGATTGTGTTTTAATTATATCTTATATAAAGTGGTTTGATTGTATCCAGATAAGTGATAGGACTTTCTGGGCGAGAAGGTTTGAAACATTTTCCTTTGTTAGGACAACAAATTTATAACTTGTAAAGTAAAAAATAATGGTCAATCATTTCATCAACGTAACCTTCTTTTTTTTGCCAAATTATTTGTTGTTTTATATCTATTATCTAAATAATTATTTAACTATTCTAAATAAATGATATGACAAATACTTTAAATCTGATGTTATATAATCGTTTGAAAAGTAAGCTGTTTAAATGAATAAAAGATATGTTTCGAAACCTCAAAATATCATATTTCTAAAACTATTTCTCTACAGAAATGTTGAGTCATTTTAAAATATATTTTGCAAGCTAATATATAATAAATTATAATTATAAGATATAATATGTAATATTGCATGTCAATAAATAACATGTAATCTTTTCAATTCCATCTAAACCCTACAAAGAGACAACTTATTGTTTTAGTATTGTTATGTTAAACAATTTTTTAAAATCATTCTATTTATACAAACCTGAGTAGTATATATGCTTATACAATATATTTATTTACAAAAAGCTTCAAATATAACTTACTTGTTTTGTCGATGTATTCTTTTTGTGTGATTCCCCATATTAATTTTGCATTGTTTACTGTTAAGCACTCAGCATTTTTACATGGAGCATGTGGGTCAATTAAATACCATACAATCAGTGATTTCAAATGACTTAGAGGAGTTAAGTAGTTGCAAACAACTTTAGATTTAAAAATCATTTCATATAGATATCGATATGAATACTTGGCCCATTTAGTTTCAAGCTTGAAGTCATTCTATAAATAAAAAAAATGTTAAAACTATTATGAAGTTATTTTATTTTTATAAATAAAAACTTATGATTGCTGAATAAAAATGGGATTAGAAAATGTGAATTTTTAAATTTTACAACAACCTTTTTATCAAGGCTACAAAACATGGCTGTTTTGTAGCCTTGATAAAATGCACTGTTAGGCAACAGTGCATTTTCTCTATCTCTTTAGTACCATATTTTTGTTACTTTAATTAAATATGCATTTTCAGAAAAAGAAGAAAAAAAGAAGAAGAATAATGAAAGAAAAGTTTGCTACCTCATGCCAAACCATCAGTCAATGTAGCAGCACTCCGCTGGGAGTCAGGCTATTTGTCTATTTCAGTATGACGTCAGACATATACATACATACATACATATATATATATATATATATATATATATATATATATATATATATATATATATATATATATATATATATATATATATATATATATATATATATACATATATATATATATATACATATATATATACATATATATATATATACATATATATATATATACATATATATATATTTACATATATATATATATACATATATATATATATATATATACATATATATATATACATATATATATATATATATATATATATATATATATATATATATATATATATATATATATATATATATATATATATATATATATATATATATATATATATATATATATATATATATATATATATACACACACAGCTGATATAAATGAAAATAAATGGTCAAACTGATTAGTAAATTTTGAAAAACAAAAATATTAACATGAGGAACATCTGGCAGAATTTTATTTTTTACATTACATTTACATTTCTTGATTTTAAACTTTCTTATATGACTTATGAATTCAAATCTCTTTGCATAGTTTGAATTCATAAGTCATATAACTACTTTCCTAAATAAAAGACACCAAATGCAGGGAGCTTTTGATCAAAATAGTTCAAAAATATATAAAGGTGTAGCAGTTGCAGATATCTCTATATAATAACTTGGGCTTACACGTGTATTTTGGTTTATGGAATAATTATATTTTGTATAAAATAAAAAAATACAACAAAAAAAAAAACCTGATTTTCCAAAACAATTGGCATCAGTCAATAGTTTTCAAGACCGATGCTGATGCATCGGCTAAATGGTTGATGCATCAGCAGGCTGATGCTGATGAATTGGTGCACCTTTAGTTTTTAGTAGCAAATTTTAGATACTTGGATTTGTTGAAGAAAATGTAATCAAAACAAAGTTTATTTTTAGTTTTTAAATTGTCATAACTTTGTCAACTCTTATCAAAATGCCAATATCATAGTATCAAAAATAGATGTAAGAATGGGCTACAAATTCATAGTAGTTTCTAGATAAAGGATGCATTTAAGGGTCTGGAGGAGGTACTGATCCATTATTTACATTTTTCAAAAAAATAAATTAATTTTCATTATAGAGTATTTTTCTTATAGGTTATTTTTATATACAAAACATAATTATTACTTTATTCTAGAACACTAGCAAATACAAGGGATGTATGTTACTAGAATACCAGAGAGTAGGGTGTAAAGATGGTGGTGAAGGTTTAACAACCCAATTAAATATTCATTCTTTTAAATATTTCAAATTTTACTAAAATAATTACATCTAGTAAAAAATATATTATTATAAAATTATATTTAACATAGTTGTATATAAACTGACTTTAGAGAAGGAGCGCATTCCCCCCTCCCCTTTGAACCTAAAATTATTTTTTTAAATAGAGAATTGAAAAATAAGTCCTACAATGCTATTTAAAAAAAAAAAAAAGAAATTAGTATCAAAAAAAATTTACCTTTTACTATGTCCTTAAAGCTGAATATTTAATTTAAAAGCAATATATGATTTTCATATAAGGCTCATATGAAAATCAAAAAAAGTCTATATTACAGGCCTATTTGTTAACATGTTTTTAGATACAAAATTGTAAAGATGAGACTGAATTTGTTTACTTTACTCCAATAACTAAACAACTACGCACTTAAAATAAATAAGAAATTATTTTACCTTACAACGATGCTTCCAGAGGTATTCAGAATTACATATTTCATATAGCTTCCAACATGTTTCACTAGTATATAAAAGTTCATCAGCTGTAACGTGTATAAGAATTTCAAATAAAACTTCTTCACTCAGATCGCAAATATTTATTTTCCTTTTGGATCGTTTCTCAACATAATTTTTACGTTTCACATGAAATGTTTTCCCGTCATAAAAACTACCACTCCTTAATCTTTTCTGACTTTTGGGAATAAAACTTTCATCTTTAAAAGTTTTTTCTTTTTCGTTGATCACATTTAATGTCATAGTAGATTTATTGCAAATAAAACTACTTAAGAAACAATTTGTTTAAAAAAAAACTTGTTTTATTTTATACTAATTCAACTTAAATTGGTATAATTAAGACTTTCATAATGACTCCATTTCCGTTAAATTTGTGTGAGTTGTAAATAAAATTATTTGAGGTGTCACATATTTTATAAACCTCTTGAGTGAAAATTTACTGATTTGGTCAAATCGATATAGTTATTAACCAATAATTGTCATCAGTTGATCAAAAAGTCATTAAAAAAAATACTTTAAAACTATTTTATTGCAAGCATTTATGTAATTATTTATTTAATCTAACATTTTTTTAAAAAAAGTCTGTTCCAAGTAAAACAGACAGGACATTCATAAAGCTAATAAAAAACCAAATTTAAAATTTTTAAAAACCACATTTTCTCGTCGGCAACAGATCGAAATGTCATTTCATGTGCGCGCTAGGGTTGTTCGCCGAAAAACAAAACTTGCGAAAATTTCGCATCTTTATCTACCGTATACGGTAGATAAAGATGCGAAATTTTCGCAAGTTTTGTTTTTCGGCGAACAACCCTAGCGCGCACATGAAATGACATTTCGTTATATTTCGTTATATTACGCGTAATAGAATTGTTATTACGGAAGTTGCACATGCGAAAATGCACATTCCGTAACGCGCTATACGAAAATATAAATAAATAAAATTCCGTAATAAAGCATTGCGAAAGAAAACTTGCGAAACAAATCATTTCGTAACAAGGCCTTCTTAAACAGGCCGCGACAGCTCATTTTCCGTAAAATTAGCAAAGGCCGATTTTTTTACGGAGAAGTATAGTTTCTATGAGGATTTTGGTTGTTTGATTTAAACTATAATAGTTAAACTCGTAAAATGCCTAATAAATGCTGCGTTTATGGTTGCTCCTCAAATTACAAATCAAAAGTAAAAGATAATGTTAATGTCACAATGTATAGATTCCCCTTTAAATCCGGGGATCGCGAGTTATGGATTAAAAAACTTCCAAATGCAAACTTTGTGTTTACAGATTATAAGCGAATTTGTGCTCAGCACTGGCCTAAAGATGCAGAATTAAAAAGAGTCAAAGGTGGTAGTTTTGTTCCAGTGCATCCTCCATCAGTCTTTAAAGGTATACCTATAATAGTGTATAGAAAACGAGATGTCACTGGGTTGATATGACTGGGTTGATATGCTCTGAAACTTTCAGAGCATATCAACCCAGTCATATCAACCCAGTGACATCTTGTTTTCTAGACACTATTGGAATACAAGACACTGGTTCTTTCATATTTCAATATATTTCTTTCAGTGAAAGAAATATTTTACCTGATGAGTTCGAAAACTTCAAAAAAATGGACGTTATTCAATTTAATACAATTGTAAAAAATTTGAAGTCAATAATAAATTACTGTGAAGAAAAATTTTATTTTGTTGAAAAAGAAAAAAATACATCTTTAATATCATATGAACATTGTGGACCAGTACCTAAGTTTTCAATATATATAACTTTAGAAGATTCTGGAGATATTTATTTTACTGGATATAGCCAACTTTTACAAATTAAACTGTCTTTTTTAAACAAAGGAGTTATTAAATATTATTCTCAACTGGAGAATGCTGTTAGTTATGTTATTAATAATGAAACAGATTCTAAGTGAGCAAGTTATATTAGGCATCAAGTAGCTTTATTAAATAAAACAAACAATACACCATTAGCACTAATGCTCCTTTGTCTTTTTGGTGGCCCACGACTTGTTATAAAAGTTTTTCCAGTTTGTAAAGTTACAACAAATTTTCAAACAAGCGTGATAGAAGAATTAAATCAACAAATCATAATTGCAGGTGGAAAGCCTCTTGGTTAATAATGGATTACTATCGAGTAAACCAAAAAATATTTCAATATTTTAATGCAAAAAAAGTTCCAGCATACTATCTTTTAAATGACACTGTGCATATTTTAAAATGTATTCGAAATAATTGGATCACTGAAAAATGTTTAAAATATAGATTGCTAAATGATAACGATACTGTGTGACTTGCAGAATGGAAATTTATAATTCAACTTCATGCTGCAGATAGTCGAATAGTTAAGTTGTCACCAAAACCAATTGAACGACAAAATGTTGGATTAGTTCTTAAAGTTTTTTGTGATGAAACAGTTGCAGCAATACGTGTAAAATTTCCTGAAGCTGAATATACTGCACTTTTTATTGAAACAGTTGTTAAGTGATGGCTTATTGTCAACAGTAAAGCAAAAGGTCTAGATATTAGATTAAATGATATTCAAAGAAAGCCTATTACTTCAGTTAATGATTGGCAAATAGATTTCTTAGAGAACTATACTTCGTATTTTGCTGAAAATTTGAAATGCGTAAATTCAAAATTAAGAGAGAAAAAGTTAACAATGGATACTGCAAGTGTTTGCAAAAATCTTCTAAAAGATTAGCAAGCTGTGCCAAGTATTTGTTGAATTGTGGTGTATCTTATGTATTGTTAGGACAAATGCAATCAGATGCACTAGAAAAACAGTTTAGGAAATATCGGCAAGGGTCAGGTGGCACATATCTGATAACTGTGCAAAATGTTATTCAAAAATTTAGAATCGACAAAACTAGAAAGTTGCTAGACAAGCATACAGATTTTACAATATTTCCTCCTGCTCACCACCACTGTGATAAGTGTGAACTTGATGTGGAGTTTATTATGTCAATATGTGAAAACTGTGAGGATTAGTTGCCAAATGAATGCAAACAAGGACTTTTATATATTGCAGGTTTTATTGCTTACAAACTTCCAGAATTACATTTAATTTTAGAAGAAACAGACAGCTTTGATATGTTTCAAAAATATGGAACTTTGATCAGTTCTTTGAATAGGGGAAGACAAAGAGAACCTTCTGACAATTTAGTCTACTTTGTTTTTTATTGTTTTTTTATATTTGAAGTGACACTTGTGAATAAAGTTTCACCATTGCTGTGCAAGAAAGGATTAATTTACATTTTTATTAACTGCAATAGTAAATTTCAATTGCTTGTTCAAAGTGTTAAAAAAGTTTGCTGCATTTTGGCAGACATTTTTTTAAACAATTATTGTAAAAAACACTCTGAAGATTTTGGGAAGGAATGTTTAATAAAACAAGCAAAACTTTTAACTTCAAAATAAAATACTTTGAGTCAAAAAAGTCAAAATAATTTTAATAAAATAAAGTTAATATATTTGTTTGTTTTTATCAAAAAATTTATTATTTGTATTACAAGTGTTAAACAGCTAAAATAAACATATAGTTATAAAAACGAGATTTAGTCATTTTTAGCTAAACTCCTTAAATTTTTATTGTAATTAACTTATTTCTAAACGTAAAAAAAATTCCTACAATATTTGCTTTCGAAATTCAATCAAAATGTTTTGTCCTAATAAAGCTTTTTATTTGTTTCTGAAGTTTGTTTACAAAAGCAAAGATAAAAAATAAATTTAACCGTAAAAAAGTCGGCCTTCGCTAATTTTACGGAAAATGAGCTGTCGCGGCCTCTTTAAGAAGGCCTTGTTTCGTAAGCTTACGAGTTCGTAAGCTTACGAAAGCTTACGAGTTTCGTAAGCTTACGAGCTTATTCTTATAAGAATACTTACGAAATAGTTCCTTACGGAAAAAGCATTCCGGAATGTGTAGTTACGAAAAAGACTGTTACGATATATTTAAGATATTAACTGTTAACAGTTTAAATAATAAATAATAAAATTATAAAAAAATGTTGTCAAATGATTCTTCAAATGTTTATACAAATATACCTAATATATATATATGTATATATATATATATATATATATATATATATATATATATATATATATATATATATATATATATATATATATATATATATATTTACATTAACGGGATTTTACTGTATATATGTGTATATATATATATATATATATATATATATATATATATATATATATATATATATATATATATATATATTTATTTATATATATATAAATATATACTTATATATACAGTAAAATCCCGTTAAGTTGGACTCTCAATGAATAGATAAACAGTATGCCTTTCTTTTTAAAAAGTATAAAGAGAATGTGTGATAAACAAATAAATACTTTATTATAAAAAACGAGAGATCTCTCTAAAGGTAAATGATATCAGAAAGAGTAAAAAGAGAAGAAATATATGTGAAACAGCGGGATGTGAACCTGGGTCTACGCGGCCAAATGTCTTAACTGAATGAGCTATACGTTCATTCAACTAAGAGAATAGTAATATTTATTTAATATATAATTTGAAACTATATAAACAGAATTTACAGAAAGAGATACGTATGCAAATAGGATTCTATATATCAGGAAAATGAATAGTAATGTAAACCTTTAGATGCTTATAATTAATATCTGGACTCAAAAACTAGTTACTTTTAATGGAACACAATAGGCTGTAGGAGCCTCAGGGAAATTATATTCAGAAATGGTTATATTAGACTCAGAGTTAGCTAGAAATTATTACAAAGTATTTAGGACAGATGTCTAGTACAAAAAGCAAAAGATTTAAAACAAAATGAATTATATTATTTGAAAAAATTGTTTTACGTACATTTCATCATAATTTAAGTAGAACTTAGTAAAGCAAGGGAAACGTGTTGAATTAAGCACAATGAACTCAATCTTAAAAGAATAACTAACAGAAGAGAGGTTGTCACTATTGTGAAGGCGACGAAAGATCTGTAATATAGAACATGGAGGTCAAAAAATGCTATCTTTAGTAAAAAGAGTTTGATGAACAAAAGTTACAATGGCTGCGGGATGCGAACCCGGATCTCTGCGGCAAATTATCACGTATCTAACTGATTGAACTATACAATCTTATACTCAAATTTATATCTTATTAAAATTAAAAAACAAAATTTTCTATGATCTATACTTTGAAAAGCGTATTCAAACAGAACTCTACATACCTTTAAAATCTGCTAGAATTTTAGTAGCGTGCACACTTTTAGAAATTATTGAAATAGGTATATTTTATCAGAAATATGCTTAAGCTAAAGCATATTTTTGAGCCTCTTTTTACTATTTGCTTAAGCATATTCGAACCTGTTTCAAAAATTTCATATGTTTTAAAAAAAAACATGTATATTCCTACCCATCATTCTTATTTTTAATATACGTAATGAGTTCAAAAAACATTGTTGTATATATTTATTATGGCACGTTTCGTAAGTTTATTTCCGTTAAGAATTCTTTCGTATGTTGTGATCCGAAATACTTTCGTTTCGAAAGAAATTTTATTTTTTATCAATATTTCTAAAAATAAAACCGTAAAAATTTAATAAGTTATTTTACTGAAAATAAAAAT